CTAGGGGGCTTGGAAATGGCCCTGGTTAAACATTAGAATCACCTTGCAAAAGCTCATAAAAACTGCCAATTCCAGAATGTAAATTGGTGCAGCCGCTGTGGAATACAGTATGGAGATTTCTCAAAAAACTAAAATAAAACTACCATATGACCCAGCAATTCTACTTCTAGGTATATATCCGAAAAAAAAAAAATAAAAACACTAATTTGAAAAGATGCATGCACCCCAATGTTCACAGCAGCACTATTTACAATAGCCAAGATACGGAAGCAACTTAAGTGTCCATCCACAGATGACTGGATAAAGAAGATGTGGTATATATTGGTGTGGTATATATTGGGTACACACACACTAGGATACTACTCAGCCATAAAAATGAATGAAATTTTGCCTTTTGCAGCAACATGGATGGACTTGGAGATTATCATTTTAAGTGAAGTAAGACAGAAATAAAAAAATAACATATGATATCACCTGTATGTGGAATCTAAAATACGCAACAAGCTAGTGAATAATATAACAGAAACGAAGCAGACTCAGATACAGGCAACAAACTAGTGGTTACCAGTTGAGGCGGGGGCAACATAGGGTAGGGGTAGGGGATTAAGAGGTATAAAATATTAGGTATAAAATGAGCTACAAGGATGTATTGTACAACACGGGGAATATAGCCAATATTTTATAGTAACTATAAATGGAGTATCACTTTTAAAAATTGTGTATCACTATATGTACACCTGTAATTTATATAATATTAACTATACCTCATCCATTATACCTCAATAAAAATGAATAAATAAGTGAAAGAAAGACCTGCCGATTCCAGAAGGGTTCCACCCCAGACCAATCAAATCAGCGTCTCCGAGGTGATGCTGACATGCAGGTGGTTTAAAACGTGTTTCAGGTGACACTAACAAGGAACCAGGGCTGAGAACCAGTGCCCTGACCCTCACCCCTAACACTCCAACGGTGATTTGGTTTCTCTCCTGGATGGGCTTCCTTGAAGGATTTAGGGTCAAGCGAGCCCTTTCCAGAACTTCAGGTGTCTTCATATTTTTCTTCTAAGGTTGCTTGAGGAGGCTCTTTTATTTTATTTTATTTTATTTAGCATTTTTTTTATTGAGTTACAGTCATTTTACAATGTTGTGTCAAATTCCAGTGTAGAATTTTTCAGTTATACATGAATACACATATATTCATTGTCACATTTTTTTTCGCTGTGAGCTAGAGGAGGCTCTTAAAAGATGGACTCAGCAATTTCTAAGGCACCATGAAACACTATGCAACCATGGCAACAGCTCCAAGAAGATGATTTTGGAGACCAGAGCTTTTTCAGGATGAATGAATGAAGTCCCCGAGACCCTCCCAACTTTGCCTCCCTTTCCAAATTGCTCTCTGCCTCTGCCAGGGGAGCCGGCCTCTCCCCCTCACCTCCCCTGCCTCACCCTCCGGAGGCAGACGGTGGAGGAGTCAAGGGCTGATGGTACAGAGGTAGAGAGGGCCAGGTGCCTCCAGAGCCACCCAAGTTCAAAGCCAAAAATAGCTCAGGGGTCAGCCTCAGGGGATGCGAGAACATATTCATTGTTTATAAGATACTGAGGAAAAGAATTAAGCACTTATCCCACTTATATTGGCTCTACCTCAGGGTACAAATAGTTGATGAGGGGAGGTTTCTCTTTATATAGAGAAATCCAGTTATTTAGAGAAGAAAGATGGAACCAATCAAAAATTTACTCTTTTTTAAACTTTAAAGAAGTAATAGATCCTCGGAAATGATCATCAATGGCTGCTCACATCACAAAATGATGGAAGGACATACCACCTCCTATGAAATATTCTTGCCAAAAAGTTGAATCTGAATCGATCTAACCACCATATTATGAGGATCCAAAAGAACATCTTTTTCTAACATCAGGAAGAAGTGAGAATGTTCCTTGTGGTAGTCGATCAGAGCTGGAGATGTCAGTAAGAATGTGTGTTTAACTTAGATACAGATGGTTCTGTGTAGACATAATTTGGACACGCGTCTATGCAACAGTTAGTGTACATACACATTTCCTTGCTCTGTCAGCTGGGCGGGACTAGAAGCAATGACTCCCCAGAAGCAGCAAGCAAGCCCAGTGCCCAGATCTCGATTTCTGTTACCATTTCCCAATAAAAGGAACCAAGAGGAACCTTGAAAGAATGGCTGATTCCAGCCCTGGGAACAGACATGGTGGACACGTGGTGAGGCTGGGGCATCTTGTGATGCCAGAGAATAAGGAAGTGTGCCAGAAATCAATCAATCAATCAATCAGTGATGAAAAGGAGAAAAAAAAAGTGAATGGGAGTAATTTGATGTTGAAGGGACAGGGACACAGCGGCCAACTGAAAGAGCTCCTTGCAGCCACAGCTGGGACAACTGAGCAAGGAAATGAAGCAGCACTGGATTACAACCCTAAGAATGAAATAATATCTTTGTCTGTCCTGATGTAAATCACAAGCAAGTACACGGAGCGTGGAGAAGGCAGATCTCCTGTGCAGAAGTGCTCAAAAGACCTGATGTAGCTACTCTGCCCTCAGGGGGTGAAGTGTAACTGCACTTCTTCCGTGTGGGCTGGGAACAGGGACGTCCTTCCAAAGAGGGTGGTGTTGTGGGCGGGGGACTCCTTAACTACGGAGGGACCAGACCAGCATGGCCTTAGCCAGGTGACCAGGTCGGCATCGAGGTGCTAAGTCCTGATGGTGGCGTGCGCACCCTTGATGAAGACTGGGTGAGCTGTCTGGGATCTCGGTGCTACCATCACAGACTTTCTGTAAATCTAAAACTTCTAAAAGATAGTTTATTTTTAAAAATATATATCAGGATGGTGCAATCAGTAAAATCTAGACTGAAAGAAACTTTCAAGGACGAATGACCTGGTTTCTTCAATAAATGAATTACAAGGGAAAAAAGGAGGCAGAATCTACACTAAGAGATGGAGGAGACATCTAGTGACGCGACTGAGCTTTATTTGGATCCTAATCTGATGAAACAAAGAAAAATTAAGACAGTCGGGGAAATGTGAATACTGATCAGATACTTGATATATAAAAATTATTGATCATTTTAAAGTGTGATAATAGTACTATGGCTTTTTTTAAAAAAAGATTCTTTATCTTTTAGAGATGCATGATGAAAATTTATGAGTGATATAAAAATAATCCAGTGAGGGGGCAATGGGTGAGAGTATAAATAAAACAAGATTCGCTGCAAACTTAACATTTCTGAAGCTAAGTGATGGTTCCCTAACGAGAGCTTATTATATTATTCTCTTTACTTTAATACAGTTTGATGTCTTTCATAGTAAAAAAGTTAAAAATAAAAAGATCTTTGACTTCTCACGAAGGTAAAGGTAAAGGTTATAATTTACATTTGAATCAAACTTTGCATTTCACAAAACCCTTTCATAGACAGGATCCCTTCTGGTCCAGGAGAGG